GCTCTAGTAATTTTCCTTTGAGACTAACCTTCATGAAAAGAAACAATGGCCTGGTGGGCAGGTTTGTCTTGGAAAAGAACCCAGTTCTGCAAGGAAATATATTGACGCAGTAAGTCAGTTATTAAGTGCCTACTATGTGCCAAACACAGACTTACGTATACCAGAGAATTAGCCTCTCAAGATTTCTTAACTGCAATTAGACTGTACTAGGATGTATTTAAGATTTTTAGCTGAGGCCAAAATGGAATTTACTGGAAAGATATTGTGGTACCTCATGGCAATTAAGGAAGAGCTGGAGAACTGGACCTCAGGGAAGGCAGGAGGAAGTAAGGTGGCTTGGGAAATCATCACCTCAGCAGGAGTTTGTGGCCCTCCCTTCAGGATGCTGTCCACCACCACCACCAACTCCCAGGCACTAGGAGTGTCGAGTTCCAAATTCTAAAGTCCTGGGAAAGAGAATCTTTTAGTTATCTATTAAATTCATAACAATTAACCCCAAAACTCAGACACCTAAAATAACTTATTTGTCACAGATCAGTGGGTTGACTGGGCTCAGCTGGGCAACTCTCCCTTAGGGTCTTCTGTGGTTGCATTCATATGGTGATTGGGGATGGAATCACCTGAAGCCTCAACTAGGATGGATGTGTAAGACGGCTTCTTCACTCTCATGTGTGGCATCTCAGCTGGGATAGCTGGAACAGCCAGGGGTTGGCTGAGTATTTCTCTCTATACAGCCTCCATGTGTTTAACTTGAATTTCTTAACAGCATGGTGGTCTTGAGGTAGTAAGACTTCTTAAATAATACTTGGCTTCCACCAGAATGAGCATTCCAAAGGTGCAGATGGAAGCTACAAGGTACGTTATGTATGGCACAGGCACTTTTGCCCTATTCTGTTGGTCAAAAATGAATCATAGGGGCAGCCCAGATTCAAGGGGAGACTTCATAAGGGTTTGAATACTGTTCGTTGGGGAGGCCACTGTTGGAGACTAGCTACCACAAAACGTGATGGTTCCACTGGGTTACTTATGCCCACTGAGGAGCAAATCCAGATTTTATATGGCTTGAAGCACATACAATTTAGAAGGCTTTCTTGAAGAATGGAAGGGACTATTCAATGAGGGGCCCTGGAAGCTCAAACTTCATCAGCCTCACAGTTAATCGGCTTCTGACTAGCCCCCTTCCCCCTATCAGCTATGATAAGGCAGCAAACATGGCTTTAGGGAGCCTACCTACTCTTGTGTACTAGGACAATTACCAGAAAAGGAGCAATCTTGTGAGCTCTTCCCTCTTCACCAAGTGTCCAGTGTTCAGTTCAATATAATCTAATCATTTGAATTACTGGAACCAGGTCTTCTGACCTCCAAGAAGTAAACTGAATATACCATATGCTACAGTATTTTTTTTTAATTTTTTTTTTTTTTTACAAAAAAGAAACCAACACATATGGTAGAATTGGAAGGATACAAATTTTTTTAAAAACTTAACTATCTTCCCTGTATCTTTTTCCTCTGGCTGTGCTTAAATGTTGACATCCTTCAGGTTGTCTCTCATTCTGTGCCATCTTCACATAGCCTCTACTTACACATGATTTCATCCACCACCATAATCAGATGGCTCCTATTTCTCTATCTGTAGTCCAGACCTCTCTAGTTCAATTGTGTATTAAATATTTACATTTGGATGTCCCACAGGAATGTCAAGATCTGTGTGGCCAAATTTAATTTATTCTGTATTCCTTATTATGGTAAGAGGTACCATTCAATCATTTCAAAAACATTTATGTAGCATTTACTATATGCCAGGGAACACAGACAAGATCCCTATGCTCCAAAAGGACATTAAATAAACAGACTGTGATAAATGCTATGACAAAAACAGTGATGAAAGAGAGTAACTGGAGAGGTTTCTTGCAGGAGGGAGATCAGGGAAGGACTTTCTGCAAAGGTAACATTTGAACTTTTGTGAAGGAAGAAGAGAAGACACCATGCAAAGTGTGGAAAGAACACTGAAGGTAGAACAGTTAAGTACAAAGCCCCTAAACAGGAAAAAGCTTAGTAGCCTTAGAGGGCCAGTAGCAATAAAGTTAATGAGAGAGAATAGCACGAGGGAATTGGGGGGTAGGAGTCAGTAAGGAGTTAGGCCTTATTCTAAAAATAAGAAGCCACTAAAGGGATTTCAACTGAAGGGAAGTGGTGTCACAATCTGATTTACTTTTTTTTTTTTTTTTTTTTTGAGACAGTCTCCCTCTGTTGCCCCTGGTAGAGTACAGTGGTATCTTTGTAGCTCACAGCAACCTCAAACTCCTGGGCTCAAGCGATCCTCCTGCCTCAGCCTCCCGAGTAGCTGGGACTACAGGTGTGCACCATGACACCTGGCCAATTCTTCTATTTTTAGTAGGGACAGGGTCTCCCTTTTGTTCAGGCTGGTTTAGAACTCCTGAGCTCAAGCAATCCTCCTGACTTGGCCTCCCAAAGTACTAGAATTACTGGCATGAGCCACCATGCCCAGCCCTGATTTACATTTTTAAATAAGCAAACTGCCTGGTGTGTAGTAAATGGATTGTAAAGGGGAAAGAGTGGAAGAATGAAGACAAATTGGGAGGCTGTTAAAGTATAATAGTCTAGAGCTGCAGTCCCCAACCCCCTGGCAACGGACCTCTACTGGTCCGTGGCCTGTAAGGAACCCAGCAGCACAGCAGGAGGTGAGCGGTCAGCAAGTGAGAGAAGCATCATTTATATTTACAGCCATTCCCCATCGCTCACATCGCCACCTGAGCTCTGCCTCCCCCAGTCCCATCTGTGGAAAAACTGTCTTCCATGAAACCCGTTCCTGGTGCCGAAAAGGTTGGGGACTGCTGGTTTAGAAATGGCCTGGATTAAGTTGGTAGCACGAGACTTGAGGGTAATTAAATGGCTTCAAGATTAATATTGAAGGCAGGACTACAGAACTTGATGATGGATTGAATTTAGGGAATGAGAGAGAAGAAATCAAGAATAGCTCTGAAGTTTTTGACTTGAGCAACTAGATGGGTGTCACTGAATCTCCAAAGGCCAGAGAAACAGAATCAATAAGATATATATTATATATATATATTGTATATATATAAATAGGGATTTATTTTAAGGAATTGGCTCACATGATTATGGGAGCTGGTAAGTAGGAAATCTACAGGGCAGGCAAGCAGGCTGGAGACCCAAGAAAGATTTGACACAGAAGGTGGAGGCGGAATTGCTTCTCGCTAAGGGCCTTGTCTTAATTTGGACTGATTGGATGAAGCTCATTCTCATTATGGAAGGTAATCTGCTTTACTCAAAGTCTACTGATTTAAATGTTAATCACAGCTAACAAATATATTCATAGCAACAACTAGACTGGTATTTGACCCAAAACTGAGCAATATGGATACCATGACCTAGCCAAGTTGATATGTAAAATTAACCATTACAGTCACTAAGTTCTATTGACTCTGACCTTTAAATATTTCTCAGATTGCTTCCTTCCTCTCCATTGCCATTGCCTTAATTTAGGCTTGTGTTCTTCTCATTTAATTATTTATAAAATACTTATATATTAGCTACTATGCCAAATGTTGAAGATACAATTGTGAATAAGATAGACTGTGCCCTTAGGGACTCAAATTGCAGCCTTTCCCTGCCTTATGTCTTGCCTCCTTCCAATCCACCTTTATAAACGGATGTCTGTAGATCACTGCCTCTCACACTTTAACTGGGCTGTAGAATAGCTCTTGAAAGACCTTGTTTATAAAATATTTGTAGACTCTCTGATGAAAAGATACACAAAAAACAGATCACAATGGTTTCCACTAGAAAGAACAGAGTGGCTGATTGTTGTATCTACGCTTTTATAACATGAATGTTGTACCAAGTACATGTATTATATATACAAAAATAAAGAAAACAACAAAAACAAAAATCAAAATACATGAAACGGTTTGCCCCTTAAAACCCTGCAGTGGAGCCCAGTGGCCCAAGGACAGAGGTTAGCCCATTTTAAGCCCTTTATAATCAGTTTACCTGCTCAGTTTATCTCCGATTGCTCCAGTAAGTTAAGGGACCACACGAGTTCTACCGGAAATGGGCTTGATCAAATTTCACTCGGTCTCTCAAACTTCAGTTTCACCAGCGCCTACTTCAGGAAGCCTTTCCTACATCCTCCGGCCCTCCGCCACCGTTGTTACCTTTTTACATTTAACCTCATAATGCTTCTTTTTGTTGCAGTCATCACACTGTGTCGAAATTTGTTTACACGTCTATCTTTGCTAGTTGATTGAGGACAAAGCTACAGCGTATGTCTAGCACAGACTGAGGAGTTTCGAAATTGTTCTGCGAAAGAAAAAATCAATGTGCTGGCCTCAAGGGACTCATAGGAAGGGAAAGCCTCGAGGACTGGGGCTCTCTTCGATCCCTTCGTGACTAACTCGAGACGGACGTGCCGCTAGCCGGCTGGGAAGGCTGCCAGGAACGCGGCCTTCTCCATTCGCTCCTTTACCAGCGCCCAGAGCACACGGGCTGCGAGTGGTCTCCTCCCCGCCAGCGCGCGACTGCCCCCTCGGGGGGTCTGGGAGGCCCGTCCACCGCCCCCACAGGCGGGCATGCGTTCAGAGGCCTCTTCTGAGCGCAGCGTGGAGAGAATGGGGTTCGGGGTCTCCTGGGTATCAGCCAGCGGCCAAGGGCGGTGATCACAGTGACCAGAGGGAGGCTGCACCCTCCGGTCGTAGCGGGGATGGGGTTGGCAGGGGAGGGTTGGCGAGGACTGAGAAGAGCCAAGCGCCAGGCAAGGGACCTCCCTGCTAACTTCCCTGCACTTACGTTTCCTCTCGGGGCCCAAGCCGGGGCAGCGGTCTCCCCAACCCACAAGCTCCAGGACTATTTGGCGTCCTGGGAAACTGGACACACTGCCCTGCCATCCTCCCGTCCACGCCCCCTTCCTGCCCGCTCGCGTCTCTCTCGCGGCCGCCAGAAGGGGCGGGGCTTCGGCCCTGGCGCACAGTCAGCCACGGTCCCAGCCTGCCCCGCGCCGGCCAACGAGAGCAAGCCCAGTGACTCACCTCCGCCGCGCTAACTCCTCGCTAGCTCTTCCTCTCACACACGCTCACACCCGGTTCGAGATGGCGGCGGCAGCGGCAGCAGCGGGGGACTCCGACTCCTGGGGTGAGGAGAAGTTCCGGGGCCAGGGCCCGGGCTGGCGCCGGCCCCACGCCGAGTCAGGCACTAATGCGGCTCGCTCTCTTCCGTAGACGCGGACACGTTCTCCGTGGAAGATCCCGTGCGGAAGGTGGGGGGCGGCGGCACTGCTGGCGGGGACCGATGGGAAGGCGAGGACGAGGACGAGGACGTCAAGGTGGGTGCGGGCTGGGGCGCCGGGCAGCGCGGAAGCGGGCTGGCGCTGTGGCGGGCAGGGCTGTCCGCCGGCGAGCGGGCAGGCGGACTCTGGGCCCAGGGGCGTCGCCCAGGCCTGCGGGCCACGGGTCCAGGCGCGAGCGTAGGGCCCGGCAGTGCCCTCTTTTCCTCCGGTTGCCGGCCATGTGGGCCGAAGACGGCCAGCGTGGCCGCCTGGACTCCCTCGCCGAGGTCGGCGGCCCGGGCCCCAGCCCTTTGAGGGTCCGCGCTCGGGCCCGGATCCCACCCGCCAACTGGCGACAGAGGTGACAGCAGCGGCCGGGCTGGCCCACGTGCGAGCTTCGTGGTCCGGAATCTCTGGCCAGAATGAAACTAGGAAGTTGGGAATTGAGCCCCATGGCTTATCCCATATGGAAAGTCTCAAAATTCGGTTGCCGTTTTGATCTCAGGTCTGCCCAGGGCTAGTAACCCATTTATGAAGGCCCACTTACAGAGTTCTGGCGTTTAGATGAGTAAAATATTGTGGCTTAATTTCAACCTTTTTTCCACCCGAGAAGAATATAAACAGTAAAGTGGAGTAACTTTTAGCTCTCCCTTCCCCCACCCTGTGGTAAAAAACATGGGCTGAACACTGAGGTAGCTTACTGTCAATGGACAGAAACATTGGGTAGACCATGCAGCGACCTGAAAAATGGAGAGTTGACACAGTTATTCGTTTACGTACGAACGACATCTAAGGACATATTGAAGATTTGGTGGTTGTAAGTAGACAGCGAGCCAGTGTTTATTTTTTTTCCTATGCCTGTAGATTTGAACCATTTTTACCTTCGTCGTTTGCTTTTGAAAACTCTCAAGGGTTCATCATATGGCTTTAGATGACATTTACTTTTGCGGGTTTTTTTTTTTCTGCTAGCTACAAAAGTCATTAGTCTAGAATGTTAAGTCTTTCATTAACAAAATTGTCTGAAGCTTAAGCTTGTTATTTTTGTGCGGATAAAGTTTTATGTGAAATGGAAAATGGTTTCTTATGGTTTCGATTGAGTGAATGTTTTACTCTTCTGACTACTACCCTTCAGCACAAACTGAGAACTCTACAAAATCCTGCTTAGGATGAAAATTTTAAGCTAGATAATCACTGTGAACTTAATAGTGCTGTTGTTTGGGTTTTTCCCTTTTCTCTTGAGTCTGATGAGGTGGATGTTCAGTTTACCGAACAGCTTGAGGTTCAGGAATGATCTGAGCTTTGCACACATTGAAGTTAATAAATGAGCAGTAATATTATTGATTGAAAGTACTTAGATGCCTCATTTACATGTTATATAAACATGGGAATGGATTATGTTACCTCCCTACATTGTAGCAGATTTGCAGTTTTGAGCCTTGGGTTAACAAATACAAATAAAAGATTAGAGATATCAGGAAAGAAGTCCCAGAAAGTGTAGTTTGAATGGAGTAATCTGGACTGAGTGTCATGAAATAGCCTGCCTGGGATCTAGGAGTTGGCAGTCCTGATGTATGTAATTCTGAGCACTTGGATCTAATTTTGGAGATTTGCAAGTTCTAAGGGATCATAAAGATCATCTTGTCCAGTCGGTACAGAATTTCTTTTATATTTCTTTTACATAAACTTTGAAGTAGACCTCGTAACTCTGAAGCTAACTTGTCCATTATATTCCCGTGTTTTGTTGGTTTGTTTCTGATGAGTTTCTCCTAGATTCCCAAGATACAGTATCCATGGAATAGTTTGATTTCTGGATTTTGGAATCAGACAGACCTGGGTTTATATTGTTGCCTTAACATTTTCTAGATTTGTGATCATAAGCAAGTTATAGTTTCCCAAATCTGTAAATGGTCATTATAGGGCCTACGTCACAGGGTTATTTTGCATTTTAAATGAAGTAATGTGTCAAACCCTAAGCAGAGTTGCCTAGCACTTGTTAGGTATTCAATAAATGTTAATTCTCTCCCACTGCGTATCTTGATTTTTTTGACTAATGGAAAATATATTTAGGCTATTTATTTATTTATTTTTGAGACAGAGTCTGTTGTTGCCCTGGCTAGAGTGCCGTGGCGTCAGCCTAGCTCACAGCAACCTCAAACTCCGGGACTCAAGCAATCCTCCTGCCTCAGCCTCCTGAGTAGCTGGGACTACAGGCATGCACCACCATGCCTGGCTAATTTTTTTATATGTATATTTTTAGTTGTCCAGCTAATTTCTCTCTATTTTTAGTAGAGACCGGATCATGCTCTTGTTCAGTCTGGTCTCGAAATCCTGAGCTCAAACAATCCGCCTGCCTTGGCCTCCCAGAATGCTAGGATTACAGGCGTGAGCCACCGCGCCCGGCCTGTTTAGGCTATTTAGAAGTAGTATCTGGGGTTTATTTTGTGCCGCATTTTATGATTTCTTAAGACCAGAAGGAATAAGTGCCCTTCACAGTATCCATTTACTGTGAATTTTGTATTTTGAGTGGAATAATGATAGTTACCAGCAAGTTTTTGCTTGCTCAGAGGTCACCTATCTAGAGTTGGATTTTGTCACCTTGGATGGTAGTGAATCATCACCAAATTTCTGAATTCTAATATTTTAGTACTTAATCTTTTTCTGAGGAGATGCAAACAAGGCTTCGTTTCCATAAGGTCAAATAATCATAGTCCTTAAATAATATAATACATGAATTTTTTAAAAGTCCTCAAAAGCAAAGTATGCATAAACACTGTAAATTCTTCAGTTCGTATCAGCATTTTAAAGGTGCTTAACCTTTAAGAATATAGGTTTAATGTAATTTGTAATGTCCTGGGAAATCAAAGGAAAACTGATGTTTTTGTTTTAGTAATGTACTCTAGCACTTTACTTTCATTTAGTAGATCTACTATTTTGCTGCCCTTGACTTTTCAAAAAGGTATCTGGCAGTGGCAAAGGTGGACTTAGATGAAACTGTAGAACTGTTAATATTCATGGACAGAAAAGGCTATGCCTTTTTCTAGTTAAAAAGGTGAGAACTCTGCAGCATGCTTTCCTGTCATCCTAGCTTTATTTACCATTCTTATTATCCTGATGTTATGCAGAACCTGTGGGGGGAATTGTTCACTTGGCATATATATTAGAACTCCGTCCTCATTGCTGCAATGATGTGTAGGATGTGTTGACTGAGAAGGCACTGAGTACCTACTGGAAGGGACAACACAACTTTTACTCCATTTTACTGGTCTCCCAGCATTTTAGTAGAACAGCTTACAAGTTAAAGTTATTCAGAGTTTGTGTTGAGGAAACTTCTGCTGTGTTCAGCCATCTCAGGCATTTGCTTCTATAACTGTATTATAGAATTCCTTAAAAAGAAATCCTGAAGAACTGATTTAGTTGAAAACTGCCTGTCTTATCCTACTTGTTCATCCTCTGTTAGGATCCTATCCCAATTAATAGTTAAATCTACCAGAGTAAGGACATTTTTCAAGCATTGGAAACAGAACTTCTGAAGAACAGAATCCATATTTTAGAGAAATGTGAGATTGTTGGGAAATACTTAGGTGGGCATTTTGCCAGAAAATGGGTATCTTGAGGAGAGAGAGAGAAGAGAGTGTGTGTGTGTGTGTGTGTGTGTGTGTGTATGTGTGTATGTATGTGAAAGAGAGTGTGTGTGTATGTATGTATGTATGTATGTGTATCTTGAGAAAAACTCCAAACATATACAGAAGTAGAAACATTTAATAAACCAGTGACCAGTCTTATTCCCTCTGTATCCCCACTTTCTCCTCCAGCCAGATGATTTTGAAGAAAATCCCAATCATATATAATTTCAATATCCTAACAATTTTTATAAACTAACAAGTTTTGAATTGGGAAGCATGTTTATTATTGAAAAATATTTTAGTGTATTTGTTGTGCTGGACCATTGAAAATAAATATGCCACTTGTTTAGTGTTCATTGTCTTGATCTTGAACCAGGAATTTAAAAGTAGAATTGGTTGAAGACTGGGTTTTTTTGTTTGTTTTTTGAGACAGAGTCTTGCTCTGTCGCCTAGGCTGGAGTGCCATGGCTGCAGTGGCCCAGTCATTAGCTCACTGCACCCTTTGCTCAAGCAAGCAATCCTCCCACCTCAGCCCCCCAAGTTGCTGGGGTTATAGGTATAAGCCACTGCCCCTGGCAGATAACCATTCTGAATATGAGATAGGTATTGAGATGGAACTGAGTGCTGAGCCATTGCAGTATATTAAAAACTTAATGAGTTGAAATTAAACGAAGTAGAATTTATTAAGACAGGTCCCTTGGCCTCCAGAAACCAGCATAGTCCTGAGATGAAGGAAGAGCATTTGGGCTTCTTTGAAAATCTGAACTTTGCTGAAGTCTAGCCTTGCCAGGATCTCGTAACAGAGTTCTGTGGCCTCTCAGAGCAGAACCACACAACTTACAGAACACCAGTAAAAGATTTTTTTCCAGCAAGAGATTATTTAAAGAAAAAAGGAAAGGGAGTACATGTTAGTTCCTGGGCTATTGCTGTGGGGCAAGAGTTTTACTATTCTTTTGAAGCTACTTCTATTTGATGATCTATAAATATATCTTGCTTAAGTTGGAAAGCATTTTCAGCCCTAAATGTGTTCTTGTTGCATGTGACATTCTGTAGTTGTATATCATAAAAAAATGACAGAACTAGCCAGCCACTGGCCATATTGTTAGAAGTAAAAAGGAAGCAGGGTTTAAAATTTTTCTGTTTTATTTTTAATACTTAGTTGTGTTCAATTAGGAAGCAAGTTTTAAACTTGAAAAGCAGCCATCTCTTTCAGAGAAATGGCTGAAATGATGGGTGTGTATCTGCAGGGCAAGAGTATAGATAAGCAAGTAGTTTATAAACAGCCTCTATTTTAAAGAAGCTGGCCATTTTCAGAGAGCAGCCTGGGTGATTCTTTGGAGATAAATTGGATATTATAGTTCGAAGGTTTATTGGCTACCAAAAATAATTGGGTAAGGGATTTAATTGGATGTTGATAGGTAGTCTCTTGAACCA